TAGCCACACGAAGGACAGTTTGGAAGGAGGAGGCTGGGCTCTGGGCTTTTGGCCTCCTGAAAACAAGCAGTTCTGTGCGTCTTTCCTCAGCTGCAAACGACGCAAGCCACAAGCGCTGGGCACAAAGCGCCTTCACCTCATTCTCTTGGCAGTGCTGGGACCGAGCCCAGGGCCCAGGTGTTCTCCTGCTGAGCTACATCCCCAGCCTGTGGCCTTGGATTTACTTAGAACAAAGACAAGCGGCAGCATTTGCACCATGACCTTTACCTCCCCAGGGAGAGCGGCCCTGGGGTCTGTGCTGCTCGTCGGTGCTGTTGTGGAAAGATTGCTGGTGGGAGGCCTGGCCCGTCCTCGCTGCCCAGCATACCGAGGTTGGCACAGACTTTATGGCTTCTGTGTTGGAGCCAAGTGAAGCTGTTTCCTCTTGGTCGTGATGGCGGGAAGTGTCCACTTACAGCACTTCTGAGTGTAAAGGGAATCGACTTAAAGAATAATAGGAAGTCAGCCAGAGTTCCAGAGGCTTCTAGCAGCCTCAAGAGTGACACCTGCTATTTTAGGAGGTGGGGCCTGTGCTAAAATGACTGTGAAAGAGAGAATACTCTGGTTGTGCTCACAGAAAACCAAAATATAGTGTTTTGTCAAGTTATCCATGAAGAGCGTAGTTTAAACATGGATGGTTAGTTTACCAGGTTGACTCTGAATTTTGTTTTCTTCAGTCCTAGGAGTCGAACATTGGGGCGCTCTACAGCTCAGCTACACCCCAGCCCTTTTTATTTTTTTATTGTGAGAGAACGAATGTCTTGCAGAGTTGCCCAGGCTGGGTTCAGGCTTGTGATACTCCTGCCTCAGCCTCTCCTGAGTAGCTAGGATTACGGGCATGTGCCCCCCCCACCCAGGCTTTGACTGGGGAATCCTACTGTTTCTGTTACTTTTATCTTAGCAGTTTGAGAAGACAGCTGGAAGGAAGTGCTTGCGGGCAGGGCGGCTGGTGAGAGCTGGAGGCAGAGCTGGGTGGGTCCGGGGAACTTTCTTCCCTGTGGGGCATTTGCCCGGTGCCAGAGAGTACTCTGCTGGCTGCTGTCCCCAAGGAGGAAGCCACGTGTGGTGTCAGCAGCGTCTTGCTCGTAGAACAGCTTGGCAGGGTCACCTGCTCCTGCCAGGCCGTTGGCAGTGACCAGGGGTGAAGTCAGAGGTGGTCAGGCTGGGGGTCAGGCCGGTGGACCTCGGTTCTGCCCTGTGCTAGGCTTGGCGGTGCTCTGAGGTGGGCACTGTCCCTGCACTGCAGATGCTTAACAGCGTCCCTGGCTGGACCCGGTGGATGCCAGCAGCACCTCCCATGTACACTGGTGACAACCACAATGCTTCCGGGCCTTCCCAAGAGTCCCCTAAGAGGACTGGACACCCTGGTGGGAGCATTGGGTGCGGGTTGGCAGTGAAAACTCACTCTTGTTGTCCTCCTAAAGTGACTCACTCTCTTAAAAATACCGAAACCTGTTGGGCCAGAAATTCACATCAACACTATGGTTCTTGACTCGGAGCCCAGCTTTCTGGCTTAGTGACCGAGGGTAGCACTGAGCTGTCCGCAGAGTCTCAGGGCAGTGCTACCCTGTCACCCCAGCCCTTCCCTGGGTCCAGTCCCTAACCTCTGCTGAAAGTGACTGTATGAGGTGATGAAGTTAAAGTGAGGCCATCAGGGTGGCCCCACCCAGTCTGACTGGGGTCCTTGGAGAGGTGAGGACTCGAGGCACCACCTGAGGATGCACTGTCTGCAAGCCAAGGAGAGAAGCCTAGCGGGGAAGCAGCCCTGCAAACACCTTGGTCTTGGGCTCACAAAATAAGTGTCTGCTGTTTAAACCCCCAGTCTGTGATATCTTGCTGTGGCAGACAAAACAAAGCAACATGAAACAACTTGTTTCCTGCTGTTTTGCCAGAGGTGGTATCCCTTAGTATAATAAATGAAGAAACTTTTGTTTTCTCCTGGTATTAGTGGCAGTGTGATTTAGACTCTGTCTTGGGTGCTGGCTAAAACCGAGTTGTAGAGTTGTGTGGCTTGGGGCCAGGCCCCTCCTATCCCCCTTAGGGATAACCTAAAACATGCTCCATGTGGTCCGCAGGACCTTGGCTCTGTCCCCAGATGTTTGCTGCTGCTTAAAGGGTTTCCAGCTGTCACAGTTGCTGGTTTTGTTTTGTATGGCTGGTCGATAATACTTTAATACTTGTCACTTTGGTTGTGCTAACTGGGTGGGAATAGTAGCAGCTGCTAACCACTGTTCCATGCTCATTAGATACCAGGTGCTGTTCTCGGGGTTTTATATGGATCAACCCACTTCGTGCTCCTTACAGCCCCATTTTACAAGTGGGGCCACTGAGCAACAGAGTTTTTTCCTTTAAGAATAGTTTCGGTTTAGAATGATAAATACTTCAGTGTCTTAGTCTCCTACTCTTTTCTGGGACAAAATACCCAACACAAGTTACAGGTTTATTTGAACTCACAGTTTGTAGACGTCTTAATTCATAGTCATCTGGCGGCTTGGCAGAGGGACAATGCAGCGAAGAAACAGTCCAGGGCAGCGCAGACAGGAAGCAGCAGCCTTCCTCCTCCTCCCCTTTTGCTCCGTCCGTACTAGAAGCCTGTTGGTTGGTGTCACTTTCACCCGGGTGGGGCTTCTTTCTTCAGTAAATCTGCCTTTCACACCCAGAACTATGCCGACCCTAATCCAGTATCACACACCCATGGTCCCCTCACTTCCAAAAGCCCCACCTAGGAGTGCATGAGGCTTTGGGGAATGTCTAGATATAGGCTGTGACATTTAGTTTTTTAAAAGATTAATTTTAATTTGATTGTATGCAGAAAATAATGGTTTGGTGCCCATTCCTGTTACTTTTTCTGCAATGTCCATTTTTCTAAATAAGCTGATTGCAAACATTGTGCATTCACAAACAGAAAAGGAGCAGAAATTATTAGTGCACGGCTTGATTAATTTTCATGAAGCGAACACATTTATGAGCTAGCAACAGATAAAGGTAGTGATTGTTACTTCGCTAGCTTGTTCATGCTCTGAACTCTGATTTAACCTATATCCTGTTTTCTAATAGCGAAGGTTAGTGTTTTGCTTTTTTGTTTGTTTGTTTGGTACGGGGGATCAAACTTGGGACGTTGCACTTGCAAGGCGTCAGCACCACTGAGCTAAATCCCCGGGCCATTTGTTTTCATTTTTCAGTGCTGGGGTTGGACCCCATGGCCTTATGCATGCTCGGTAAGTGCTCTACCACTGGGCTACATCGTCCTCTCAGAAATTATTTTTGTTTGACCCTCCCCATCCCCCATACTGGGCACTGTACCTAGGGCCTTCTCAGTGAGGGATCCCTGGATATTTACTTTTGGGGGGGCAGTCTTGCTAAATTGGACTCAAACTTGGAATCTTCCTGCTTTAGCCTCTCGAGTAGCTGGGATTACTGGAATGCACCGCTGCATCCAGCTTGTTTAATCTTAAATTTTATATAAATGGGATCATGTGGCATAAGCTCTGTAGTGCCTGGCTTTTTATCCTTGTTCTGTGATACTTAAAAGATCGAACCATGCCGCAGGTGAGTTAAGAGTCCGTGCGTTCCTGCTGCCCTGTGGCTGTTGTTTGACGTCGTCCGTGTGCTGTGCTGTAACAAAGTCCCCAGCTCCATGGTCTGAGTGGCTTCCGAAGAGCAGGAGGTTTTCTTCGCAGTTGGAGGCTGCAGAGCAGTGTAAGGGGAGGGAGAGCAGTTGGGGTTCCGGCTGGGCCCCTTCTGTGCTGTCCTCGCGGGAGGGTGAGGCTGCCACCTCATGAGCGAATGTCTCCCCAGGTCCGAAGGAGCCTCTCTTCATCCTGTGGCTCCACAGGATTTCAGCATCCGGGCTTTGAGGGGCCTTGACTGCCAGACCACAGCCTCCTGGTGTGAACACATCACCGGCTATTTCCCATCTCCTCTTGATGTTCCGGTCATAGCCAGCCTTTTTTAAATTAAAGAAAAGTTTATTAGTACACGTTGCAGTGCAGAATGTAGATAACAGCATTCTTTGTACTTCCCCCTGGGTCCTGGTTTTGGTGGCTCTGATTGTCACTTGCCCAGCAGATCCAGTTGCTCCCGGTCCTCGGCAACACTTGGTACATCTGTCTTCTTTCAGCCGTTCGGACTGGAGTGTAGCAGTCTTGGAAGAAGCTTACTTTTCATTCGTGGTTTGAGAGCGGCTTCCTCTTCTGTGTCTGAGCTCACGTTTTAGACGTACAAGTCAGCTGGCAAAGTGGTTCCATCCAAGTAGCTTCTTTTTTACCAGGGTCTTCAGGAAAAGTTTATGTTAGAAGGGGAACGGTAAAAAAAAAAAAAAAAAAAAAAAAAAAAAGGCACATTGCATTGTCCTTTAATTGAAAGATGAGTGCTCGCGTCTAAGAAAAATTAGAGAGTAGAGAAAAGCAATACAAGAAATAACAGTGTTGCTTTCCCTTCAAAGCCAGCCGGCAATTAATCCAAACATTGTAGCAGCCCCCTTCTTGCTCTGCTTCTGTGGATGCATTGTTTTTGAATAGGAGCCTGTGACACTTGTGTTTTTATGTTTTGCTTTTTCAAACCCTTAGCATTTTAATGTTTTTTGTGAATGGGGTCATTACAAAAGAAGCTTCAAATGCCACCTTGGGGCCTGGGGCTGTGTGGCTCAGTGGGAGAGCTTGTGTTTAGTTTGTGTGAGGCCGTGGGTTCCACCCGTAGTGTCTCCTCCAGCCCCTGAGAGCAGGGAGCAGCGCAGTATTTCCTGGAGTTGGCAACTCCAGTTGGCTTTGCCGGTGGCTTCTATTTTGACAAGTCCATCAGTGTTTTCATTCTGAATGCTGCTGTCCAAAGCAGTGCTCAGAAAACAAACAGGGAAAGCTGGGGGCGGCTCTGCCAAAAGCAGCCACCTGTCGGGCTGGATTAGCCAGGCCAGCAAAGCAACACTTGCAGAGCAGTTTTGTTCGTGACTGCACAGAAAGCCAGTGCTGGGATATTGGATGTTTCCGAGGATCGCCTGCTCTTGGAAAGGGTATGCAGATGTTGAAGCTTTATGTAGTCACAAAGAAGTGAACGGAAAATTATAGCATGAAGACTAAAAATAGTTGGGTTGATTCATCCATTGATTGATTCACTCCGTAAATATTTACTGCACACACTCTGGGCCTGGCAGCTGTAATGTTGGGGTTGGAGCAGAGACGCAAAGGACAGAATTCTGCCGGCAGGTGCTTATACTTGTAGCACTTGCTACGCTCTTGAAAGAACTCTGTTCACCCTGCTGTTTGCCCTGGGCCAGCACCCCGTCCTGGGTATGATCTGTGGGTCACCCTGTGTCTCTCTACCTTGACCAGTTCTAGGGTTGTTTCATTTCCCAGGAAAGCGAGGCTTGAGGGGTTTGGGACTAGCCCAGGGTCACACAGCATGAAGGCTGCTGCCTTCCTACCTCCTGGGTTCCCTGTCTGTCTTCTCTAAAGGCACCACCTCTGCTGAGTGGCATATTCTTTTTTTGTTCGTTTGTTTTTTTTTTGAGACAGTCTCACTACATCGCTCAGGCTGGCCTTGAACTCAGTTCTGCCTCAGCCTGCAGAGTGCTGGGATTATAGGCGTGCCCCACCACCCTTGGCCTGAGTGGCATATTCTTACCTGTCTGACCCTTTTTTCCTGTTCTCCTAGCCCAGGCACAAAATGCAGCCTCCCTGAGAACAGCAGCTTGTGTGTCTTAGTGTAAGAATTTCAGTGCTTAGCACAAAGGCTGCTGTGTGGTACGTTCTCGATAAATATTTGCTCATTGATCGAATGGGTTGAGTGAATAGTGGGAGCCAGGGTTCCAACGAGATCTGTCTGCTCCCTGCACCCTTGGTTTTATTCTGAAGCACGACTCGTCCTGCAGGTTCTTCATTCCTAGTGAATGAGGGAGGAGTTGGTGAGGGTGGACACAGGATGGAGCCAGAGGGAAGGAGACCCTCCCTCCCCTCTCCCTCCCTCTCCCCTCCCTCCCCTCTCCCTCCCTCTCCCCTCCCTCCCCTCTCCCTCCCTCTCCCCTCCCTCCCCTCTCCCTCCCTCTCCCCTCCCTCCCCTCTCCCTCCCTCTCCCCTCCCTCCCCTCTCCCTCCCTCTCCCCTCCCTCCCCTCTCCCTCCCTCTCCCCTCCCTCCCCTCTCCCTCCCTCTCCCCTCCCTCCCCTCTCCCTCCCTCTCCCCTCCCTCCCCTCTCCCTCCCTCTCCCCTCCCTCCCCTCTCCCTCCCTCTCCCCTCCCTCCCCTCTCCCTCCCTCTCCCCTCCCTCCCCTCTCCCTCCCTCTCCCCTCCCTCCCCTCTCCCTCCCTCTCCCCTCCCTCCCCTCTCCCTCCCTCTCCCCTCCCTCCCCTCTCCCTCCCTCTCCCCTCCCTCCCCTCTCCCTCCCTCTCCCCTCCCTCCCCTCTCCCTCCCTCTCCCCTCCCTCCCCTCTCCCTCCCTCTCCCCTCCCTCCCCTCTCCCTCCCTCTCCCCTCCCTCCCCTCTCCCTCCCTCTCCCCTCCCTCCCCTCTCCCTCCCTCTCCCCTCCCTCCCCTCTCCCTCCCTCTCCCCTCCCTCCCCTCTCCCTCCCTCTCCCCTCCCTCCCCTCTCCCTCCCTCTCCCCTCCCTCCCCTCTCCCTCCCTCTCCCCTCCCTCCCCTCTCCCTCCCTCTCCCCTCCCTCCCCTCTCCCTCCCTCTCCCCTCCCTCCCCTCTCCCTCCCTCTCCCCTCCCTCCCCTCTCCCTCCCTCTCCCCTCCCTCCCCTCTCCCTCCCTCTCCCCTCCCTCCCCTCTCCCTCCCTCTCCCCTCCCTCCCCTCTCCCTCCCTCTCCCCTCCCTCCCCTCTCCCTCCCTCCCCTCTCCCTTCCTCCCCTCTCCCTCCCCTCTTCCTCCCTCCCTCCTTCCTCCTCACCCTTGCTTCTCCATTTGGAACTTTGAGTTATTTCATTGTTGGTTTTTGAGACAGGGTCTTGCCATGTAGTTCACACTGTCCTTGATCTCTTGGTAATCCTCCTGCCTCAGCCTCCTGAATGCTGGGAATACAGGTGTGCACCACCACATCCAGCAGGACTTTTAAACTGCAGGTCCTTGCCACCACATTATGAAAGAAGTAATTCCTGTTACAGAAAGGACTATCATTTATTTACTTATCTTTTGATGGTGTTGAGGATCAAACCTAAGGTCTTATATATGCTAGGAGAGTGCTGTACCACTGAGCTATACCTCCTGCATCCTAGAATTATTAAAACCTTACATCCCATTGTGCATGTGTACGTATGTTTCCCTTTGGTCTGTGTGTTTGTATGAGAGAGAGTTTGTGTGTGTGTCTGTGTGAGTGCGCACAGCTGTGGGTTGAGACAGGATCTTGCTGCATAGTCCCAGGTAGCCTTGAATGAGCCCTGCATCCCTGGCTGGACTCCAGCTTGTGATCTTCTTGCCTCACCTTCCCAAGTGTGGGGATTGTAGGGCTGAAGTCTGTCTCTAATGAGCAGCTGATAAGTGATGTTATTTCAGTTCATTTCTGCTGTTGTAAATTAAAACATGGTCTGTAGAAGATGTCTTTTTAAAAAATAAAAGCTGTTAACCAGTGTATTAAAATAATTGCCGTAGGCATCTGCAGCTCTGACCTCAATTCTGACGGAAGTCTCAGAAGGACAGAGCAGGTGCTGCAAGGTGTTCTCCTGTAGGGACTCCCTGCCCGCCCACAGGTCCCTTGGCAGTGACAGTGACATTCCTGTCCTTTGCACCTCTGATAAGTCAGCACACACCTTTTCCGGGGATTTCCTGTTGCAGCTGCTGGGTCTTATTCTAATTCTGCATGTCACTGCCTTTGGTTCTGGCAACTTTAAAAGCCAGGGCTGTGGGGTGGCTTCCTGACCTACTCGTTCGTTGGCACCCATGGGCTGAGTCGGGAAGAGTGAATGGTGCAGAGCTCAGCTGCGCCCACAACCAGTCTCCCTCTGTAAGCTGTGGAGGATTGTTTTGTATTTTCGGTTTTATGATACAGGGTCTCACAGTTCAGGCTGGCCTTGAACTCATTGCGTTCCCCAGGTGGGCCTTGAACTCAAGTGATCCCCCTGCCTCAGGAGTGCTGGATTGTAGGTGTGCGCCAACACAGCTGGCTGAGAATTTCCTGATGAATATATATATATAT